CTAGGCAAATGCTGAATCTGAGATTGAACGCGTCCAATCTCGGATCGGATATCTGGCTGCTCCAATCTGAGATTACGTCTAATTTAAGATTGGAAGCTGACATCTATGTAATTTGACTTGACTACCACCGATTAGTTCCACAGAAGAGCCTGTGAACAGTAACCGGTACTCCAAAGCATACTCCTCCAGGACAAACAGATACTTCGATATAATAGTGCCTGACGATCTCTAAGTACCTCTATGTCAAGGAGCTTGAAGACATACAGGGTCCGCTAAACACTACGCCTTGAATACCTATGACTACTACTACACGATATCATTTCAGATCCAATAGATATCTCCGCAAAACAGGACTTATGGACCAAAGAGTTCCTCTAGATGATTTGACTTGAAGACCTATGAGATCCTATATTACATAAGGGTGTGGGTGTGGGTGTGGGTGGGTGCGCTGTGGGTTCGGTGTGGGTGTGAGTATGGGAAGAGATTAATCCCACACACACCCTTGACGTAACGTTTGGCATCGATTCGAATATTTAAGAAATGAGCAATTAACTCTTCATAAATTTGTACAAATACTTAATTGGAAATTTCAGAAAAGAAAACAAGATTGATCTGGACGAATATGTTTTTCAGTTATCTCAACTAGTTACCAAAAGTCTCAATGTTATACGTTATACGTTTACTCTGTTTGCAGAAGTAACTATCTGCTTGCTTAATTTCAAATTTAATTTAATTGTCAATTAAATTAAAAAATAGATGTGTTCTTCGAATAAGTTTGTTTAATTAGCATTGATAAATACCAAATTGTCTATAGAAATTAGACAATGAAAAACAGTTGTTATATATTAAAAGCCTTGATTACATCAAATCACTTTTTCATGATTGTTTTTTCTTTTTAATAAAATACCGCAAACAAATGGGAATTGAACCTTCCGTGTTTTTTTGTTCTATGTCAAAGCAGTAGGCCTTCTACATAAAATTTTACCTATGATTTTGTTGTCTTTATACTCACTAGGTCATACATTTAGGTTAAAACTTTAATTTTTCTTCCACATTTGATCCTACTTTTTTCAGACCATTTTATTTTTCCAAAGAAAGAATTAATGCTTATATGTATGGTAGCCAGGATTCTACAGATGTTTCAACTCATTATTTTCAAAGCTATTTAATAAATGTAATTTTTCTTCAATACTGAATAGATTATTAAAGGTTATATGAAACTTCAAAAATTATTTATTTGTAAGCATGAATTCATTTTATTAGTTGCTTACTATATTTTATTGAATTAAAATGGGTCATACACGTTTTATTATTACTCAATTAACACCTTTTGTAATATGTTAAAGATTAAGTTCAAAATAGTAATATTGAAATAAATCGAAAATTAAAATTCAATTAATTTTTTGTAACAACACGCATTGATAACGGCGAACGTATTCGTCGAAAGCTTTGTAATAATAATTATTAGATCATATTGATCATTTCGAAATTCATCAATTGAAATTTACCATTTGGAATTTCATCAATTGGCATTTATCATCTAGAATTTAAAGATTGATTATCTAGAAGTTAAAATTTGATCACTTACATTTATTATTTAAAGAAAAAAGCATGAATTCGGAATTGGACTTTTTACAATTCGCAATGAATTTCAACCAATTTTAACCAACTACACATATGTACTGATGGAATATTAGCACCATCACCATCTACAGATGTACATTAAGAAAAATAGCTTAAAATAAATTTATGTTTACAAATAAATAATTTTTAAATTTTCATATAACCTTTAATTTTGAAAGCTAATTTAAAAGATAGCATTTATGAAAAAATAGAAATGACTAATTACGTAATGAGTGTGGTAGGCTTATCTTATGTTCTGTTATTTTTCAATTAGAGTCAAATATTTCTGAGATTTTTCTTTTTCTAATATATTTACTGATAAACAACAGCTACGCACGGAAAACAAAACTAGAAAAAAATGATGGACAACAATGTGTTGCCAATAACACACAAGATACTTCCTAACTTTTGTAACAACATTCATTAGAAAGAATAGAAAACTGAGTCTTGAAGGTAATTTTTGCGAACAAACAGTAATGTTAATGATGCAGTCATATTCATAAGTTTGCTATTTAATTTTTTGAATATTATTGATGGTAAAAAATTAAGTATTCTATAAAATGTTCAGCATAATCTATTTTATTTTTCTTACATACAAACTTTTCAACCGTTGTTTATAATTCGATCATACTTTTTATTTGATTTTGAATGCAACTTTGAACGATGTTCAAATGAACAATCATTGTAGTATATCTAATGATGATAAAATACCTTGTCTTTTGCCATCTAGTCTCTGTCATAATGACGAGCCACAAAAAACATGAATAAAGTACTCTTAGTTAAAATTTAGTTTTAAGTCCTTATCTACAAGATATTCACCGTTATTTCAGTTAGTCAATTATTTTTTTTACTTTTTATTAAGCAATTGTTTTATTAATTATTCATAACATCTTAGAATTATGCTTTTAAACGAAACCGTTGATGTCGCTTGCACGACAAAAGAGATACGATATATTTAGAAACGATTCATAGAGGATACAAGTGACATGATTGTGAGAGATCGACTGATACAATATATTGAACAAAAAATCAGAAGAGAATCGAGTTATAATAAAGAATATTTTCTTGGGATTGCATCGCTTATCATAGTAAATTATTCTATATGGTAGAACTTCATGAGCTCTGTTATGAGTAAAAGTGTTAGAAGGATTCAACAGTAAAACAAACTACAAGGGTAGGTGTGGGTATGATCTCTTAATCCGTATCCATACCTGCATCCACATCCACACTCACACATACATTGTTCCTCATTCATGCTGAAAATATCCGTGGACAAAATACTTCAGAGAATAAGAGTATTTAATGATAATATTGTTGATAAAGTGTCTCAGATGAAGTGTAAGTCAGAGACAAATGTTTTCATATGAACATGATAGTATTAGTGTAGAAATCAAACTTCAATCAAGGCTTGAATTGGTATGGCATGAGTCTGCCCCATTCGATTGTCAATAGAATTCACAGATTATTGACACTCAGATTCTTTCAACATTCAAAGACTAGAAAATTGATGTGATTAATGCAGAGACTTTTTATAAGTATTACTACATCTGAATTTTTTCGGACAGCAGCTGCAGAATTCGAATAAAAAACACAACATGCGAGATATCACTCGACTCGAATTTACAGAATCCGAGAACTACACATTTCATTGAATTTTCACACAATCTCAAACACGTCTTTTACATCTTCAACTAACGTAAGTAGACCTCGTTTAATATTGATCCATATCAACGAGGTTTAATCTTCATACAATAGTGTCAGGCTTTAGGCAGATTAAACGTATGGGAGTATATTTTCAAGATATTCTTGAATAAAAAAAATAGGCATGACTAATATTGGCTTTGACAAGTATTAATAGACGAATAGAAGAATACTCCGCCTTTCAGCTACCTTGCGGTATAGGGTGCTGTCCCAGGATAGTTTCAAGAAGCCCGATATTTTTCTACATCTATTATTAAATGTAGCTACTCAGAAGTATTAATAACACATGTGTGCAGACGTTGGTATTTACTCAATCCACACCTATATCCAAATTTTGCGTTTGCCAACTTATCCAATGCAAAAAATAGCATAAGATAGCTATTCGAATTCTCTCAATATTATCTGTATTTATTTAGTTTAATTTTTTCTTTACACTTTTTGATTTTCCCTTGTCTATGTGGATGGATTTTCAACGCTATTGCATCAAAATTTTTGAATTATTTTGCTAATGATGCGATGATGTTCTTTCTATTTGTCTGCCTCTATACTTTATCTAAACTGAAAGGTATGATTCAAAATATAGTTGATTTTAGATGCTGGTTACGAACAAGACCACTTACAGTGCCATCAAAGTAGTGTTGAGCAAACCGACTAGTAATTTCCGTTTCCACTAAAAATCCATTTCGAATTGAGAATAACTTGTTTGAGAACTGATTTTCTCTTTTTCTAATGGGAGTCGTTTAATAGCATACACGTCTTCTGAGGTCTATGATAAAGCATATTCAAAAAAAAACACCACTCTCATGGCAATTTTTATCATACCGATAAATATTTGCTTAACAACACAAAATAAAATAGGTGAAGAAAAAAAGAAATATCTTTGATATATAACTAAGCGCATGCTGCCTTAATTTAAAAAATTGACAGAACTTCGTCTTTTTTTTTATTATGTTACTCTATCAAATACTTATCTTTGGCTTTCTCTTACTTGTTTTTTCATGTAATGCTCTTCGATGCACTACGAATTGTTCGTTTACGTATAACACCACAAAACCATTCGCGATACCTGACACATGTAATCAAGTTGTATCAGCTGGAAAATGTGAAGCAAGACTTGGTTTTATGTACGATTGGGGAGTTTATTTCTTTGATCTCAGTGCCAATCTACAAACTACTATATTTAATTCAAATAATCAACGTCGTGCCAGATTGCAATTACATTTGCCTAATACGGTTTACTTGTCTCACTTCGTCGACATTTCATGTAAAGATAAAGATGATTGTGCCCGAGATTTGGCGATAAACGTGTCAGTCGAAATGTCACAACGACAATATGATTTTCCTAGAATTATGAGTGAACTTTCACCTTTAATTTTAGGCCCATCTCTATCATCGAGTAATCTTGAACTTAATTGTTACGATTCAAATCAAAAAGTACATAGATGTGGTACATTAACAAATCCTGGGTCTTGTATTGTGGCGAATGATATAACCAAAAATAAAATATCTTCTTCATGCAAGATTGATTCATTTCAGCGTGAGATATCTATAAGTATGTATCAAGAAAAAAATTATGCTACATTTGATGTTCGATGTAATCAAAATTTATGTAATGGACATGCAACACTAAAAGCTGTTAAACAAATTTTGTTCAGGCACAATATCACGCAAACACCAGACGGACGATTGAATGGTGCAAGTTTCCGCGTATCTATTTTACTCATGATAATTATGCTTTTTGGTCTGCTTTCTAATCGATGATTTTAAACAATTATGTTGACACCAATTACAAAAACCATATTTTGGGTGTGGGCGTGGGTGTAGTTGTGATGTGGACGAGTGTCGGTTGATGTGTGAGTGTGAGTGGATATAGGTGTGGATTTATTTCATTCAAAACTCACACACACGCACCCACATCTACAAAAACGTGTGAAAAAAACAGAATCTATTCTGTATCTGTGTCGGGATAGAGCAAGGTATTCTTAAATTGGATCCGTGTAGAAAACAATAACCAAATCTGACCACCCGATAATCGACGAAAATTTCACGGATTCTGCCGTTTTTCGCGCTACTTCGTTCACTCAGATAAAAAAATGACTTCTGTAGAGATTTAAGTTATCTTAATTTTTTCTGTTTGCCAATTAATTGTTCTTTCTCTTGCTTTACATTCCAACTGTAGCTACTCTTGAGGATAATCATCCTTATGACACACGAAATATTTCAACTCCTGTGATCATCCGTTGTCTAAAGAAGAAATTAGCTAGAAAGTGCTCTACGGGTTAAAATATTTCAACTAAAGCAGGTTTATTAAACAAAAATCTGTTTTAATACGAAAACTAAAAACAACAAGTAACGCTTATCGAAGGTCGATTTGCTTAACCCTAGACTGAGTTACTCCATGTGAACATGTCATTGTGTTTTGAGATGAATATACCCCATACAGATGATTAGGTCATTAATGAAAATAACATTTATGTAGAAATGGGCTCTGTGGTTCAGCTTCAAAGCTTGTTCTGAAAGCTCTTCGTAGATCTTATGGTATAGAATTTTTACTTTTCTAGATGAATACAATGCTTTCAATTGAAGTAAACTTGTTGTATATTTGTGTACGAAACATTATAGGCAATGATGGTTTTGTTTTTTTTTCAGTGGGCTTATAAGAAAATTTCGATTGCATAATAGTATCTGTTGTTCTCAAAGTCATTTTTAAATACTGAGATGACATCTATGATTTTCAACTTTCAATAACTATTTATTGTAGCTTATGAGATACTTTTTCTATGTTTATAAGCCAAAAGTAATATGGTATTAATACAAACATTATTTATTTCATTTGATTTGCGCTGAAATCGGTTAACATTTTTTAGTGACTTAAGTTTTAGCGTCTCAAATGATATCTTTTTAATTGGACGATATTTTCTTGTGTTACACCAGCAATTAGCTAGGTAAAACAAATTCGAATGAATCAAATAGTAGTTTTTGTGATATATTGTTTAAGGCATGCAAGTCAATTTTTGGTTCGTGTGCAGTCAAGGTTTTTTTAATTTTCATGTTCAAAAAGAGAATCAATGGAACACAGTCTATCTTTTCAATAGACTATAAAATAAATAAGTGTTGGTGATTAATTGAAATATAGCTGCTGGTACTAATACATATGAATGGCTTAATTGTTTTGAAGAATATTACTTGGCTTGCTTTTGGTTATTTGAACGATTCATCGAAATTTTTAATGATAGACAGACAGGACGATATTATGAAGATATATCTGTTCTCAATTATTGATAAAAAGAAATTGAGTTTAAGGATAATGTATATATGAATATAGTCAATAATGACTGAAGAAAAATGATAATTTTTTTTCAATAAAACTAAAAGCAACAGTTAAGTCTGTCTACTGAAACTAAAATGTTTGATTGATATAAATGTTTTAATCGTAATATAGACATTATTATAGGATTTGATGATGATTTGAATAAATGGTCACTTGTAAAACCACTATGGTCACTTGTACCATAAAAATGGTCACTTGTGCCATGACAATGGTACTTTGTACCATGAAAATGATCACTTGTACCATAAAAATGGTCACTTGTACCATCACTATGGTCACTTGTACCACGTGTTACAGACAGACAGACAGACACAGGTGAATTTCCGTTTCTAGACCCTATCCTTTCAGTCTAGGGAAAAGTAAAACATATTCTTATCATTCATTAGATTGATAATTAATGTCAAAAACAAATGATCTACAACCAAAGCAGAGAATTATGTGTCGACGAGGAAAATGTTTCAAAAATACCATCATGGTCGTGGTAGCTTCTTTTTCTGAGAGGTTGTAAAATCACATCGATTTGTATTTGATTTTAGTTTTCATAAATCTAACAGTTAGAATACTAATACATCTGATGAATTCACACGAACCGTGATGATTCTGCATAATGACAGAAGCAATTCCCGAAGAGCTATCGTGACATGGCAGATTTCTATACGTGATACATGTCTCTGGGATATAATCCTTATTCTGCATCATAAAGATATAATAACTATAGATAATATGCATAAAAATTGTTAAATGTCTATCAATAAATGGCAAAAGAAATTAATTCAACATAAGTATTCAATAGAAATTTTCTTTCCTTACAATTTATCTCTGTTGAAAAGGGTATTTTTAGAGTACAATTTGTGAAACAACTAATATAATTCATGATAGTGCTATAGAATTTGATTGTTTAATGAATGGATGAGGCTCGGCACGATTATTTATTAGTAGGAATAGTTACTACGAAATATTAGCATAAATAATCTGAGAAAAATGAAGTGAAAGTGTATTTGTTGTGCATTATTTTTTTAATACAAAAATGGCATAAAAAGATTTCGATGAAAACACACAAAAAAACCATTCTCTATTGTGGTTTCTGTTGTGTAAAATCATTTAGAAAAATAGATCGTAGTTATAGATTCTTTTTTCGATTTTACATCAGTAAATATGGAATATGTTTTTGTTATTTGATCACTTATACATACTCTAATAATATAAAATGATTTTTAAATAGTTTCGCCCTTATACCTAGGTATTAAGTTGATTATATCTTTATAGTATTTAGTTATCTAAGTATTTCAGTAATGATCTAATCAACCAATGTTAGTATGCAAAAAATGGATCATTTCTATCACTTTTGACAGTGTAAAGATCATTTTGAAAAACAGTTATTTATTACAGTTAATGCCGTTGGACATGGTACACCATAGATTTGTAAAATTGTAAGATAAGGATACTTAATGCAGCACAATAATACTGCGAAAAAATAAATCAAATAAATATGCAGATCCGTTATTTGTAATTAACAAAACAGTATCATTGCTGGAAGAATTTTCTCGAATAATTGTGAGCAAGCGTTGTTTCTTGATCAATTTCTAAATATTGAAATCACTGTTGAGAGCGTCACTGTGGATGTCTCTGAGTATGAATGGGCGTAGGTTCCTTTTTGTGAATGAGATTATACGGAATATGCACCCCCCCCCTCCTCATGTTCATACGCATATCCTCATGGTCTACAAATTGACATTAATGAAATTTTAAGAGCAATTTATCAAACTTCTGCCTTTCATTAGAAAATCAAAAAAAGATAATTAGAAAGAAAAAATTTTCTTTTCTTATCTACAGATGATTATATAAATGAGCAATGTTGGTTTTTGTCTAACGTTTCTGACTGAACTGACTGGATCAAAATTTCCGATAAGATTATTTTAGTACATGCTTGTGCATAACTATTCATAAAGAGTACTTAGAGACCTATAGTATATCAATGAATAACTTAAATAGAACAAAGCTACGTCTCATACCTACATTCGCCAATACTTACACATGCGTCTTTTGTAGAATCATTCACATTCAAATTTAAGGGAAAGTCAAAGTAAAATATGCACTATTCTTCTCTTGTATATCATATCCGATTACGTTACTAGTATTTCAGTATTTCAGAATTCGGTAAGAAAAGACAAGTGCATTCATTTATATTTCTAAACATAAGAGTGAAAATTCGTTATACACAACAGAAAGAATCAATATTTTTCATAATAGTAGCACAACAGCATTTACATGTGCTTCATTGCAATTTGACGTTAGTTTCTATGAGAACTAAACTTCTGCTCCGCATGAAACTAAAGTTATCTTTTGAAATCACTGTTCTTCTCGTTAACAGAGTAAGAGGGTAAAGTTCTAATATTGAACGCCATTATCAAATCAAGCAAAGTGGTCCATAACTGTACGATATCTTGAGGGTGTGGGTGTTAGGTGTAGGTATGGGTCAGGCTTTGGATGAAAACATTATCCACATCCATACCCCACACCCACCCACACCCACCCTTACTCACATCCATACCCACACTCACACTCCACACCCACACTACACACCCTAAAATGCATAGCTATACATTAATACGAGAATCCTTTTTTTAGATGGTTTTTACAGGAAGACATGCGCTGAAAGAAAATATAAGCTAATATTGAAAGTTCTTTATTGAAAAGAAAGAAAGAGTACAGCAATCTATTCAAATTTGTTTTATACGATGGTGAAGGAAAAAGAGTTTCGCTTGATGCATTGTGGAATGAGCTTATGAAAATCGAAACATTTCTGTAAGACTTGCATTGCCTTTGCATCTAAAACAGCTTCGTCGGTAAGAGAAGAAGGAAAATATTCATGCATACCCATTTATAAATTGTCTTCTGTTTATTTTCTCTCCCTTGTTGAGATTGAACACGTTGAAGATTTCAGTAGCAAGCATGGTTGGCGTAACGCCTCTCGTTTCGTTAGAATTTGACATTCTCAACTTAAATAATAAACATTCGATCAATCCATATAGCATTCTAATAAGAAGAAAGTAAGGATAATCTCACTGCTTTTCCCATGAAATTCACCATCTCTTCATAACTAATAGTTCCATCGCTAGATGTATCCATCCTAGATTTAAAAAAAAGACACGAATAGTCGACCATTCTAGGTCTTTAAAATGGTGAAGACAACTTTTCCGAATAAAGTATATTCTCATAGTGAGAAACTATTTTTCACTACTTCAAAATTTCCCTCTCCTTGACTACTTGGTTTGATGCGTTTCTATTAGTTGACCGGTTAACTTCTCAAATCATTCTATAGTATGTAGGCAGTCGAAAGCAAACTTACATGTCGAAGACAAGGTCAAGCTCAGCATTCAAGTCATGATTGTTCCCGATGGCGCACGCTAAAGTGAATTCACTAAAATCA